AAATAGGAGAGGTTTTTTTCCCATTTTCTGAGTGTTTGAATTTGGAAATAATTAGGGTTCGGAGTATGTCCACTCATTAAAAATGAATAGCAGGACTCTCCCAAAATAAAAAAATTAGATCATCCAAATTGTGGTAGTAACAGTACAAGTGCCTTAACAGAGAGGTAAGAGCAGGCCTTAGTTACAACTGTGATGGGCACTATAGAGAAAGAGTCATTTTCCCCCAGCACAGACAAAATTTGGCCATTGCTGTAAGGAGAACAAGCTGTGGATTGGAGACCTCACACTGTGGACAGCATCAGTGGCTCCAGAGGGGCCATCTGGGTGCGGCAAAGAGGTAGACATGATTGTGCCTCCATGTTTGTAGGAACTGCTGTAGTCTGGAGAAGAGCTGGCTACACTACCATTAAGGGGAACCTCTCCTGTATCCATCACCCAGAAAGCATGTTATTGACAGCATAATGCCTCTAGAACCTGCCATTTGTGTGGCATGCTTCCTTTCTCTCCATCTTTCCAGCCAGCTTGCCGTTGTAGGAGGCATAACAGCCCTCGTATTAAGAGAATAAATTTTTTGATTTAAAAGTAGTCCTCCAAAATAATAAATCACTTCAAATCATGTTATGTTGCCCTGTAATGTGCATATATATATAACCGGACTCTCAATGCCTAAAAAGGTTTTGCTTCTTTTCCTCAATATAAAATATTAGCAGGACAATTTTAGAAATCCAACTCATCAAGCATTTATTTATGTCGTACAACATGCGCATTTGAGTAGGCTCATTAATGTAGTGACACTTTTTAAGGAGTTTCTTTTAACAATGTTGTTAGATACAGGCCACACTGAAGATTTTTTTTTCTTCTTCTTACAGCAGTTTCATCATCACTGTGGTGTATTTATTCCTGGAATTTCTCACCTTGTTTTCAGTATCACGTGATTGTGCAACATCTGCTCCGCATCTCAAACATGATCAGAGTACATGCATCTGTGGCAGAGGTCTAATGACTCACAGCACAACTCAGAAAACTGGCTTGTTTTCTGAGAAGCTACATCTTCATTTTAATTTACTAAGAAGTGATACATTACTTGTTACTAACACAGACAGAGCGGAATTCACAGGGTACAAAGAAAGGAGCAATGATTGTATTACACTAGTGATTAGTGACTTAGGCACTTAGCAGGCTTTCAGTGAGATGTAGGCTCCTACGTGCCTATGACTATTTTGAAAATAAATGGGATTTAGACTCCTAGGCCTAGATCCTTAAAGGTATTTAGGCACCAAACTCGCACTAAAATCAATGGGAATTAGGTGCTTAAAAAACCTTTGCGGATCTCACACTCCAAACTCCTCAGCCTCACCCCCCAGCCCGGAGCTCCCTCCTGTTCTCCACACCCCTCATCCCCGGCCCCACCCCAGAGCCCTCACCCCCATCTGGAGCCCGAACCCCAACCCCCTGCCCTAGCCCGATGAAAATAAGCGAGGGTAGGGGAGAGCAAGCGATGGAGGGAGGGGAGATGGAGTGAGCGGGGCCAGGGCCTCAAAGAAGGGGCAGGGGCGAGGCAAGTGTTCAGTTTTCTGCAATCAGAAAGTTGGCAACCCTACCTGCGAACTTTTACTTGCATGAGCAAGCCTGAGTGGCTTCAACTGCACTAGCTGAGCATTGCTCAAGTGAACAGAAGTTTGCAGGGTTGGGCCCTTTTATAGTCACAGTAACAAGGTACAATTAAGAAAATAGAGGTATGCCTAAACTGGCGCTGGAGGTGTAAATTCCTGCTTGAGGAGACATACTTGTCCTAGCTCTCTAAAAATAGAAATGTCGCCACCGTGGCACAAGCAGGATCCTAACCAAGATGCTAGGAGTATACGTCGGTGGCTAGTCTCTCATTTTGCTTGCACCATGGCAGCCACACTTCTATTCTTAGTGCATTAGCTTGATCACAGCTAGTGCAGTTATGTCTTCTTGAGCTGGAATTTACACCTCCAGGTTGAAGTATAGATTCCTCGGTTTCCTTCTCCCTGTGGCACATAAAGTTCATAAACCAACACATGTAAATGCTGAAATCAGGAAAAGGGATCATGTAAACATTAGATGGATTTTTCCCTTTATCCATTAACCTGGCTTTTGTAGACATCACAAGCCAAATTTTGCTCTGATTTACTCCACTGACTGCAATGAAATTTACATAGGCATAAGTGGACAGAACTGAGCCTGCTCATTTAAAATGGCTGGTCTGTTCTCCTTCACATGCTTTATAGCGCCAAATTATCATGATTAAGGCTACAATTTAATCATGGGTATTTTAGTAAAAGTCATGGACAGGTCACGGGCAAGAAACAAAAAAATCACGACCTATGACCTGTCCATGTCTTCTACCATAAATACACCTGATAGAATCTTTGTTGTTGTTGTTGTTTTGAGGATGGGGGGAAAGATACTGCTGCTAAGGAGGTTCCTGGAGCCAGCTGCATCGGCCGCTGCTCAGGCAGTCCTGGGGGCCAGTTGCTCGGGCGGTCCCAGGGGCCCGCAGCCCAAGGCCGCCAGAGCAGCAGCCAGTGTGGCTGGGTCGGGGGCTGGGACCACTCCAGCAGTGGCTGATGTGGCTGGCTGAAGAGCCGCTCCAGCAGCAGCCGGTGTGCTTGTCCCCAGGGCCAGCCGCTTGGGCAGCCCTGGGGTCAGCCACACTGGCCGCTGCAGAAGTCACGGAGGTTGCAGGAAGTCACGGATTCCATGACTTCCGCAACCTCTGTGACAAACACGGAGCCCTAATCATAATCCATCACCTGAGTTGCAGTGTCTGTGCAGAATCATATATTGGTCCATACACAACACACCAGTAATTGCCTGCACAAGTATTTAATTCCCAAGCAGAATTTCATGTTTGCAGATGCAATTTTAGAACCGGATTTTGAAAAAAATGGCATACAAGGTTATAGGCCAATACTCTTTTTTTCCATTTGCCTCAGACTATTGCATATAAGTACTGAAAGAAATATGAGCAAGTACTATATAAGTACTGAAAGAAATATGATTAAAAAACAAAGGTGAGATTTTTTTTAAATCCACTTAGGGTGTTGGGACACTCAAGTCCCATTAATACTAATTAACTAATTACATTTTAATGAGGATTAAATGACCAGACCCCTTCAGCAGCCCTGAAAATCTCAGCCAAGAGTAGAACCCTAAAAGCATTAGAACATGATATCTTTGTAATATGTGAGTTACTTTTCAATCCACTGCTGAGGCTGAATCCAGCTGTTTTCGTTTTTTTAATTTAACATTTATGCAAGAAGATTGCTTACAAAAATAAAACTACTGGAACTGCCTGAAGTTACACTTTTTGTGGTTTTGATAAGTAAAACGATCAGTCTCTGAACTGTATGATTTCAGACCCAAAGGTCAAAAAAGTCACTTAGGTTGCCAATGTTAACAAAAATTAGTGGAATAATAAAAAAAATTTAAGTGAATTTCCCCCTCCCCGTTTCTTCTCCGCTACTGCTTTATTTCCCTAGGAGTCCTGCCAGGTTAAGAAGACCCAATACACCTCCAAAAATTACTAGTACAGTAGCAAGAGAATCCTTCCTTAGAAGCAAAAGTTGTTTCTTATCACAGAAGAAAGCAAAACACTTATCAGGCATAACCATGAGGTAGGAAATTTTAACATCAATCAATCCCCCTGCTTCTATTCCCCTATTTGAATATTTTGATCAGGTTCCAACTGCAGTCCTCAATATGGAGCTTTACTATGGCAACCCCCAGGAAGATGGTGGAAAAAAGCTATGGAGTTAATACATTTAAATCAGTATTTCCTAACTTGGGGAGAGGCCTTCCTAGGAAAGCAGCATACTAATGCACACAGGAAGGGAAAACTACATGACTTTGGATCTACTCTGACCATCTCCCTCACCACAAACATACTGCCATGCATAAACCACCAGGCAGCTCCTTGAAAGCCACCCACCACCCATTCCTGCTCCTACAGTAGTTTGTAATCGTAGAAGATCAGAGTTGGAAGGGACCTCAGGAGGTCGTCTAGTCCAACCCCCTGCTCAAAGCAGGACCAATCCCCAGACAGATTTTTGCCCCCAATCCCTAAATGGCCCCCTCAAGGATTGATCTCACAACCCTGGGTTTAGCAGGCCAATGCTGAAACCACTGAGCTATCCCTCCCCGACAAATGCAGGTAATGCAGCTTGCCATGGGAGTAATTCACATACATAGGATAGAAATAGGCCAACCTAAGCTTTACTCGGTAACACTGAGCTCAGCTGCAAGTACACAAGGGTCTCAGGTACACAGAACCATCAATGAATGCCTTCCATCTTGAGAGCTGTATGTAGCTTTCTAGTAAGTGCAGGCAGGAAAGAGAATCAGTTAAAAAAGAAAAAGAAAAAAACAAGGAAAAGAATTAAAAAAAAGAATAAAAAAAATAAAGAAAAAGCCACAACAGAAAAAAAGAATAGGAGAGTAGGACTTGTTATAATAGATCACATCAGGGGCCCATCTAGTCCAGTGTTCTGTCTCTGACACTGGCCATTAACTGCTGCTTCAGAGGACGGTTCAAGTAACCATGAAGTGGACAATTAAGGAATAACCTGCCATAGGGGAAGGCTGGTGGGAACCACTACTGTAAGTGAAGGTATTTGATGACTTCCAATGGTAAATCCAGATCTGAGAGGATTAAAGGGAAACAGTGGGATGAGGAGGTGGGGTGTCATGGCGGGGAGGGGGGAAGAGGAGGAACATAAAATCCAAAACCAAAGGAAAACAAGTATGAACATTTCCATAATAAAAGTTGCACTGATCTGTGGTTCAGTAACTGGTACACTAGAACTCAAGTCCTAACTAGGTGATTACTCAGCTTTTACTCAGCCCTCACTCATGCAAACTCCCACTGAAGCAAAAGGTAGCTTGCCCGAGTAAGAGCCTTACGATTAAGCCCTTTGTCTTTACATAATAATATTTCCTAACATTATGAAGGGAAAAAAATCCTTCTTCGGTACCTTTATAGTTTCCGTAGGCACTCCAGGCTCCGGAACTTTATCCAAGTAAGTGGTCAAGTCTTGATCGACATGTTCAAACACTAGTGTTAGTTTGGTCTCTCTGTCTGTTCGTGACACTGTGCATACATCAAATAACCTGAGAGGAGGAAAAGGAAAGAGGAGATAAGTTGACGGAAACCAGTGAAGCAGTACCTTGCAGCTCACACATGTATGCTTCCATTTGCTGTAAAATGTGGAGTGAAAAAAGAACTTTCCAAAGCAGGGACAGTCTGTGGGTTCTTGATGATTCAAGTGATGATCAATTATTTGTGACATCACATTCAAATTTCATGTTTGGATTCTGAAATCACAAGTATTACAATTTCACAGCATGATCAAAGAGTAGTAGTTAGGTGAGGAGATGATCAATTCTGATCAAGACACATCTACAGTTAACAGAATACAGAAAATGATTTGATTTTGTATACATGTTCTCTGCCTCCTGCCACGTTTGCTCCCCTTTCATTCTTCTTCAAGAGGAAATAAGTCAACAGTGACTTTTTTGAGAAACAAAGAAGCTTACTGCTTTTATGCACCTATTAATTTCTTCTCACACCCCTCCAACGTACATCATTACATGATTTGTCACTTAGTTTAGAATCACATTCTCCTTCTCCTCTGATCTACAGAAACAGTATTTTTGCACTGATTAATCTTGTAAATTGCTAAAACCAGGAAAGAGTCAGGAAATTGAGTTTATAAAAATCCTTTTATACAAAATACAGCTGCTAAGATATTCTTCCTTTCTCATCATTCTGAACACATTACTCTCTTATTTAAATCCTCTGCTTTCTCACCCTCTTTCATAGCATCAGGTTCAAAGTTTCTTCCCCTCATTTTCAAAGCTCTTCACAGCTCTCACTCTTCTTACTTGTCTACTCTTGTTTCTTACTGATACGCCTCCCAGCTCCTCTAGCCAGTGATCTATGTCCGCCTGTTTCTCTCACACATTTCTGTGCCTCCTTATATGCAACTCCTTCTGTATGGAATGCCCCCCTCTAAATGATATGGAGGGTCACTGCTTTCTCTTCTGTCAAACCCTTCCTCAGGGCCCTCCTCTGCCACAATCCTATGAGGAAATTATCTAATTACTGGCTTTCAAATGAGATGGGGTTATCTGATACTATCTTTTTAAATTTTTTTTTTAAATTACAAGTGTTATTTAAAAAAGTATAGATTTGATTGCCTTCCTGTGTGAAACATGAAACAAAATCAGTCAATATATTTATCAATTGATAGTAGATTTTTTTTTTCTAAAATACACGTAATTGCTATTCTTGAGAAAAAGAATATGTAGTTTGATAGGAAACCGATGACACTATTTTGAGATTAGTGGTGAAAAAATATTTTGGGACAAAGTTAAGATTGTAGTGATAAAATATGCATTTATTTTATACCCAATAAGAATAATACACTTGTTTATTGTAGGGGCAGTATAAGATTAATGAGGTCCTTAATTAATAATTTCCTTACTCTTAGATCCAGGACTACACTCCTGATATGCTGGTTCCACAGTAATGCCTAGTGCACTAGGTCAGAGGTTCTCAAACTGGGGGGGTGCACCCCCTAGAGGTCACAGAATTTATTCTGGGGTGTGTGAGGAGCTTTAGCAAAAAAAATAACTTACTGCACACATTCAGAGCTGGTCGGATGCCCAGCTCTGAAGGCAGCGCTGCTGACAGAGAAGTAAGGGTGGTAATACCATATCATGCCACCCTTACTTCTCCACTGCTGCTGACGGCGGCACTGCTTTAAGCTGGGAGCCTGTAGGTGGCCGGAGAGTGGTGGCTTCTGACTGGGTGCCCGGGTGGTGGGATGTAAACTACTCCAGACACAAAGAAGCGGGGCACGATCAAATAAGTTTGAGAACCACTGGACTAAGCCAGAGTGCCTCCCTCCTAGTCACTAAAGTTATGCCATCTGAAAAATATGGGTAAGAAAAATGCTTTTCACTTATTTAGTGTTTTTTCATCTGTAGATCTCAAAATATTTTATAAAGGTGGTTTAGCATTATTATCTCCATTTTACAGCTGGCCTAAGTTCAAAGATTTGAAACAATATGTAAGAGAGGCATTGAGCGCTACTGGATGCTCTTATGGGTCTACCACTTCAGGGTTCTGGCCCCAGTTTTAATAAATATTGCCTACAATCTCTGGCTAGTCACTTAAACTTGGATTCTTAGTTATTCCATTTTGAAAATGGATGTCTTAGGCCAAAGATACATTTTGATGAAGAATAATTTTAACACAACCAAGAGTTTCATTTCCTTTCACTTCTGAATAGTAGTCCTGGCTTGTTCACAGATAAACACTGAAAATTCTCTCTGTGATGCCCTTTATACCCCCTAACAGCTTTAATGACAAAATATCATGTCTCATTTTCAAATACTGGCAATTTTTAAAATTGTTATTGTGCTTGAAAACTGCCTATTGCATGAGTCAGTGTAAAACTCGGTTTCACATTTTGTAGCGTATTAGGATTTTGTTGGGGAAATCAAAGGACACAAAGAAACAGAGGTTTTGTAACAATTTCTCCTCCTTTTATGGTTTCAAGAAGTTCCTACTCCATTTAAGCAAAATGTTCAGAAAATGTTCTAGTTGGCAATGAGACTTAAACCTAAAAATGAGCAAAAGGCTTCTTTACTGGAGTTGCAAGGAGAATCAAAATCGGCTTTATAATGGGAGCGTGGAGGTTATCCATGCTCCATAACCGAACTTACACGTGAAGAATGGACAGTACTGTCTTGGTTCTAACAGCTCTAATAACCCAGGCCTCCAGCACTGGAGCTCAAGGAATATTGTTGGTAACAGTTCATTAAAGAAAAATCATTATGTGCTTTCTAAGCTCACTAGCCAATAGAGGGAACATATTCTCTCACAAATATAGAGTCAAATCCTCAGCTAGTATAAATCAGTGTAGCTCAGCTGACATCAATGGAACAACACCAGTTTATACCAGCTGAGGAAATGGCCCTTTGTGCCCAATTCTGTTCTAACTATAGACAATGGCAAAAGAGCTCTTTTGACATCCATCAGATCAGAATTGTGCCCCCAAAAGACCCACAACAAAAAACCTTAATAACTTTGCTAAAAAACACCTATTTACATTAAATACAGCTAGCACATGAGTGTCCAAGGAGATTGAACTGTCAGGTAAATTTGAAGGAATAGTAACAAGTGGTTCTGAATTGGAAGAAGACAAAGAAACAGGGAAAAGTTAATATTTTAAATCAGGATGATTTTTAAATGACCTACAATTTAAATATCATTTTGATTCATTTTTTTTACAGAAACATTCTTTGTTTTCACAACAAATATGGCAGTTTTTAGATCAGAGTATTTTCTGAGCCAAACTTATATGGGCTGCAGAATAGAAGCTTGGTGCAATTTTAACAGAGAGAGGCTCCGCCTCGCCATAAGAAACTTATTTTGATCTAATTAATCACATGAATAAACATGCATCAGATGAACATGAGAACATATATTTATGGGGCAGATATTGGCTCCAGCAGCAAAAGCCCTGGAACAAATATTATTCTCTTTATAATTCCCTTAATGGGACAATATAAAGAAGATGGATGCCTCTGTATAGAAAATAAGTTTTGTGAAAAGTCACTAACCGTTTTGAAAAGCAAACTTCCCTGGTATTTGGCTGGAGGTTAATAATCTGTAATATATTTATATGAATCAATGTGGAATGTAGACGGACTACCTATAACCCCAACACATGCAAACAGAGAGGAGCCAGACAGGTCTGAACATCTGAACATAAACACTGGAAAATATTTCCAACTGTATGATTCCTTTGTGTTTGCTTACATTTACTTTAAAAAAAATTAAAACACCTTTTTTTGCCAGATATTTAATACATTGGCAAAACTGCCCTTTCAACCATTGAAGGGTTGTAATTCAGTTTGTTTGTTTTTTTTAAACAAGATTTCACTGTGTCAGATGTAGAAGCAATGTATATTACTACAAGCTTCCTTTAGAGGGAAATCAAATACCAATATTCTGATTCATTTTTACCAATTTTATTTAATTTGATCCTGGTATTCTAAATGCATGTTAATGGGTACTCGGCTAAGTTTAAGAACTGTAAGAATGATTGTCTATTAATCACTGTATGGAGTAATAATAATGCTAATATCTTGCACTTCTATGCCACCTTTCATCTGAGGATCTCAAAGTGCTTTACAGTTAATTAAATAAGCCTAACATCCCACCCACATCCCATCTGAAGGCAGTAAAGAGGATATAATTATCTCTGCAAACTACAAATGCTCCCTAAATAGAAAATTTTAAGCAGAGCTTAAGTCTTTGATACTATAAAAAAATTACATCTAGCATTGCCTGTGTTAATTACCACTGGAAGAAGATAGCTAGCACAAGGTATACCCTCTTGCTTGATAGCTCCCCTATTGATGAGATAACCTCATTACAAATTATACCCTTCTATATTTATTGTAAGAAAAGCATCCTTATGTAATTCCATAACAGTTGCCTTCTATGGTTAGGATTAACTCTGCCATCTAAACTGTAATTATTTCAGGCCATTTCCTGCTTATTTTTTCTATTTGACTGGTTACACAGCATCTCTGGCACAGGCTACAGCATCCAGCCTTTTATTTAAAAGGTTACATTGTGTCCATAGAACTCAGTGGAGTAAATACAGATAAATTAATACAGGATTTCCATACAGAAAACTTTGTAAACACAAACCCTGCCCTTCTTTGTACTTATAAAAGAAACCTTTGCATTATTTGCAATGCCTAAAACTAAGATCCACTACAGGAAGTCCTGCAAGTATTTAACAAGAAGTTTGGCTGGAAACGGTTGAAGCGCTGATGTGCAGATCTGAATTAGAACACTATGAAATACTAGATGCCTACTGGAGACTTGCTTTTCAATGGAACCAACTTTTTGGAGTTAACAGTACCACCTAGGAAAGATTTATCAGCTATGAACACACCTAGAGCTCTATTTTCAATTTTTATATTATATTATGTACATATTTTCTGTATCACTACAGAGAGGCATATTTGTCTTTTTCTCTTTTTTTTGCTCTGAGAATGTAGAAAATTAGAGAATGTATAGTTTT